CCAGCGTGTCTCGCAGGGAGAAAGCTTGCCAGCACAGTGCAGGCATTCCGCCCTTGCCCAGAAGCATGGATCTGCTGAACACTCCAAAAATACTACTCTTTCCTAGGCAAGCTTCAAACTGCTCTAAGACGTCCGGGCTCTCTGTTTTCTGCTGTCCTGCTCGTTGTAGAAGAGTGCACAGCTCCACCTGACATTCAGTGCACAGCGAAGTCAACTGCAAAAACCAGCAGCTGCTCACTCCCAAACACAAGGCGCTGTCTATGTCCTTGCTTCCCGAGCAACTCAGCGCAGCCCTTCTTTTCTGCAGCTGCCACCGAGTTCTCTGCAACTCGGAAGCTCAGGGTACGAACAAGAATTCTCCAGATTCGTCTGCATCAGGACCAAGTCAAAACCAAGGAAAGTCGTCCTGGAGCACCTGCCAGAAGCATGCCAGCGGTGAATTGAAAGCGCAGGCAGCTGCAGCCACCGTCCTCTAGCAGTGCCAAGGCAGCGCACACAAGCCGGTTTCGTTCTTCGCCTCTCAGAAGCCAACCGCTCTCCCCGGCTGCCGGAGGCGAAGAAGCGGCTACTAGGTGCACCGCTGACGTGAACCGCACTTGTAGGCTGCAAAGCGCGATTTCGGCAGAAAGAAGCCGGCAACCGCCGCTTCCCTGCGGACAGCTGCGGAGAGCCGAAGTCTGCGTCTCTAGCGGACTGCATCATAGCGAAAAGCTTTTCCAGCGTGTCTCGCAGGGAGACAGCTTGCCAGCAGAGTGCACGCATCGCGCCCTTGCCCAGAAACATATATTTGCTGAACACTCCAAAAACACTACTCTTTCCTAGGCAAGCTTCAAACTGCTGTCAGACATCAGTGCTCTCTGTTTTGTGGTGTCTTGCTCGTTGTAGAAGAGTGCACAGCTCCACCTGACATTCAGTGCACAGCGAAGTCAACTGCAAAAAACCAGCAGCTGCTCACTCCCAAACACAAGGCGCGGTCTATGTCCTTGCTTCCCGAGCAACTCAGCGCAGCCCTTCTTCTCTGCATCTCGGAAACTCAGGGCACGAACAAGAATTCTCCAGATTCGTCTGAATCAGGACCAAGTCAAAATGCAGGAAATTCGTCATGGAGCACCTGCCAGAAGCATGCCAACGGTTAATTGAAAGGGCTGGCAGCTGCAGCCACCGTCCTCTAACAGTGCCAAGGCAGCGCACACAAGCCGGTTTCGTTCTTCGCCTCTCAGAAGCCAACCGCTCTCCCCGGCTGCCGGAGGCGAAGAAGCAGCTACTAGGTGCACCGCTGACGTGAACCGCACTTTTAGGCTGCAAAGCGCGGCTTCGGCAGAAAGACGCCGGCAACCGCCGCTTTCCTGCGGACAGCTGCGGAGAGCCGAAGACTGCGTCTCTAGCTGACTGCATCATAGCGAAAAGCTTTTCCAGCGTGTCTCGCAGGGAGAAAGCTTGCCAGCAGAGTGCAGGCATTCCGCCCTTGCCCAGAAGCATGGATCTGCTGAACACTCCAAAAACACTGCTCTTTCCTAGGCAAGCTTCAAACTGCTGTCAGACATCTGTGCTCTCTGTTTTGTGGTGTCCTGCTCGTTGTAGAAGAGTGCACAGCTCCACCTGACATTCAGTGCACAGCGAATTCCACTGAAAAAAAACCAGCAGCTGCTCACTCCCAAACACAAGGCGCTGTCTATGTCCTTGCTTCCCGAGCAACTCAGCGCAGCCCTTCTTCTCTGCATCTCGTAAACTCAGGGCACGAACAAGAATTCTCCAGATTCGTCTGAATCAGGACCAAGTCAAAATGCAGGAAATTCGTCATGGAGCACCTGCCAGAAGCATGCCAACGGTTAATTGAAAGGGCTGGCAGCTGCAGCCACCGTCCTCTAACAGTGCCAAGGCAGCGCACACAAGCTGGTTTCGTTCTTCGCCTCTCAGAAGCCAACCGTTCTCCCCGGCTGCCGGAGGCGAAGAAGCGGCTACTAGGTGCACCGCTGACGTGAACCGCACTTTTAGGCTGCAAAGCGCGGCTTCGGCAGAAAGAAGCCGGCAACCGCCGCTTCCCTGCGGACAGCTGCGGAGAGCCGAAGTCTGCGTCTCTAGCGGACTGCATCATAGCGAAAAGCTTTTCCAGCGTCTCTCGCAGGGAGAAAGCTTGCCAGCAGAGTGCACGCATCCCGCCCTTGCCGAGAAACATTTATTTGCTGAACACTCTAAAAACACTACTCTTTCCTAGGCAAGCTTCAAACTGCTGTCAGACATCAGTGCTCTCTGTTTTGTGGTGTCCTGCTCGTTGTAGAAGAGTGCACAGCTCCACCTGACATTCAGTGCACAGCGAAGTCAATTGAAAAAAACCAGCAGCTGCTCACTCCCAAACACAAGGCGCTGTCTATGTCCTTGCTTCCCGAGCAACTCAGCGCAGCCCTTCTTCTCTGCATCTCGGAAACTCAGGGCACGAACAAGAATTCTCCAGATTCGTCTGAATCAGGACCAAGTCAAAATGCAGGAAATTCGTCATGGAGCACCTGCCAGAAGCATGCCAACGGTTAATTGAAAGGGCTGGCAGCTGCAGCCACCGTCCTCTAACAGTGCCAAGGCAGCGCACACAAGCTGGTTTCGTTCTTCGCCTCTCAGAAGCCAACCGCTCTCCCCGGCTGCCGGAGGCGAAGAAGCGGCTACTAGGTGCACCGCTGACGTGAACCGCACTTGTAGGCTGCAAAGCGCGGCTTCGGCAGAAAGAAGCCGGCAACCGCCGCTTCCCTGCGGACAGCTGCGGAGAGCCGAAGTCTGCGTCTCTAGCGGACTGCATCATAGCGAAAAGCTTTTCCAGCGTCTCTCGCAGGGAGAAAGCTTGCCAGCAGAGTGCACGCATCCCGCCCTTGCCGAGAAACATTTATTTGCTGAACACTCCAAAGACACTACTCTTTCCTAGGCAAGCTTCAAACTGCTGTCAGACACCAGTGCTCTCTGTTTTCTGTTGCCCTGCTCGTTGTAGAAGAGTGCACAGCTCCTGGGCACACCTGGATACACCTGGCGGGGTCACCTGTGCAGTTCTGGGGGTGCCAGGTGTGCCCATGCCCCTCCTGGGCACACCTGGGCACACCTGAGCACACCTGTGGGCGCAGGAATCGAGTCCAGGTGTGCGGGGGAGTGGCTCAGGTGGGTCCCAGGTGTGCCCGCAGCCCCTCCCCCACCCTGAGCAATAAACACACCTGGACACACCTGCCCGACTCACCTGTGCCTTTTGTTTCTTAATAAAATTTTCAACTCGCAATTTCACCCCAAAATTCCCAATTTTCTTCCTCTCAAATTCCCGGATTTTGCCGCCAAACATTCCCGTTTATTCCCCACCCAAAACCCCAAATTTTACCCCCAAAATTCCCAAATTTCCCACCCAAATCTTCCTGTCTACACCTCCAAAATTCCCAATTTTCCCCCCAAAATCCCCAATTTTTTCCTCCCAAAATTCTGAATTTTTTCTCCCCCAAAATGTCCCAATTTCCCCCCAAAATTCCCCAATTCCCCCCCAAATTTCCCAATTTCCCCCCAAATTCCCCAATTCCTCCACAAATTCCCTAATTTCCCCCCAAATCCCCCAATTTCACCCCCAAACATTCCCAAATTTTCCCTCCCAAATTCCCAATTTTTTCCCCCAAACCTTCCCATTTATTCCCCCAAAATACCCATTTTTCCCAAAAAAAATTCCCAATTTCCCCCCCCAAAATTCCCAAATTCCCCCCCAAAATCACCAAATTTTCCCCCCCAAATTTTCCCCTCACGAATCGCTCATCAAAGGCTCATTGATCACTATTAATTAACCACTAATTAACCATTAATTAATCATTAATTACCCGTTAATTAATCATTGACCAGCGGCACAAAAGGAACGGGGGGGGGGGGGGAGCCGCCCCTCCCCCACCGCGATAAGGCCCCTCCTGAAAAGGGGGGGGGGGGGGGGGGGGAGGGGCGACAGCGAGGACGGGAGACTTCTCCCCCCCCTAGGTGTGACCCTCAGGTGTCCCCCAGGTACCCCCAGGTGTCCCCTCCCCCCCCAGGTGTGACCCCCAGGTGTCCCCAGGTGTCCCCTCCCCCTCAGGTGTGTCTCCCAGGTGTGCCCAGGTGTCCCTTCCCCCCCAGGTGTCCCCAGGTGCGCCCAGGTACCCCCAGGTGTCCCCCCCCCCCTCTCAGGTGTCCCCTCAGGTGTGCCCAGGTGTCCCCTCCCCCCTCTCAGGTGTCCCCCAGGTGTGTCCAGGTACCCCCAGGTGTCCCCCAGGTGTCCCTTCCCCCCCCCAGGTGTGACCCTCAGGTGTCCCCAGGTGTGCCCAGGTACCCCCAAGTGTCCCCTCCCCACTCTCAGGTGTCACCCCAGGTGTGCCCCAGGTGTGCCCAGGTGTCCCCTCCCCCCTCAGGTGTGACCCCCAGGTGTCCCCCAGGGGTGCCCAGGTACCCCCAGGTGTCCCCCAGGTGTGCCCAGGTGTGCCCAGGTGTGCCCAGGTGTCCCCTCCCCACTCTCAGGTGTCCCCCAGGTGTCCCCTCCCCCCCCAGGTGTCCCCCAGGTACCCCCAGGTGTCCCTTCTCCCCTCTCTGGTGTCCCCCAGGTGTCCCCTCCCCCCTCAGGTGAGACCCTCAGGTGTCCCCTCCCCCCTCAGGTGTGACCCTCAGGTGTCCCCACCCCGCTCAGGTGTCCCCCAGGTGTGTCCAGGTGTCCCCTCCTCCTCAGGTGTCCCCCAGGTGTCCCCTCCCCCCTCAGGTGTGTCGCCCAGGTGTCCCCCAGGTGTGTCCAGGTGTGCCCAGGTGTCCCCTCCCCCTCCAGGTGTCCCCTCCTCCCCTGGAGTCCCCCCCCAGGTGTCCCCCAGTGTCCTCACCCCTCCCCCAGGTGTACCCAGGTGTCCCCTCCTCCTCAGGTGTTCCCCAGGTGTGTCCAGGTACCCCCAGGTGTCCCTCAGGTGTCCCCCCCTCTCAGGTGTGTCCCCCAGGTGTCCCTTTCCCCCTCTCAGGTGTCCCCCAGGTGTCCCCGCCCCTCCCCCAGGTGTGCCCAGGTGGGGTCACCTTGGGGCGGCTCCGCGGGGCTTTAAAAGGGACCGGGAGGGACCGGGAGAGACCCGAGAGACGGAGCCATGGGCAAAGAGGTGAGAGGGACAGGGGAGAGGGAGAGATGGGGAGGGAGAGATGGGGAGGGAGGAAGGAGAGGGGGAGAGGGGGAGGATAGAGGGGAGATGGAGGGATGGAAGGGGGGGAGGAGATGTGGAGGAGGAGGAGGGAGAGGGGAGAGGGAGGGAGGAAGAAGAGGGATGGGAGGGATGGAGGAAGGAGAGGGGGAGAGGGAGGGAGGAGGATTGAGGGGAGATGGAGAGATGGGGGAGGGAGGGAGGAGTGAGGGGAGAGAGGGACGGGAGGAGGAGGAGAAGAGAGAGAGGAAGGAGTGGAGGGAGGAAGAAGAGAGATGGAGGGAGAGGGAGGAGGATTGAGGGGAGATGGAGGGAGAGATGGGGGAGGGAGGGAGAAATGGACGGAGAGGAGGAGGAGAGATGGAGGGAATGGAGAGAGGGAGGAAGAAGAGGGATGGGGGGGATGGAGGAAGGAGAGATGGGAGAGGGAGAGAGGGATGGAGGGAGGAGAGGGGGAGGGAGAAGGACGGAGAGGAGGAGGAGGAGGAGAGAGGGAGGAAGAAGAGGGAGGGAAGGAAAGGAGGAAGGATGGGGAGAGGGAGAGGAAGGGACGGGTGAGAGGAGAGGGAGGAAGAAGAGGGATGAGGGGATGGAGGAAGGAGGGAGGGAGGGAGATGAGGAGGAGGAGGAGAGATGGAGGGAATGGGGAGAGGGAGGAAGGCCGGGGTGGGAGGAGAGAGGGAGGGAGGGAGGGAGGAGGATAGAGGGGAGAGAGGGACAGGAGGAGGATAGAGGGGAGAGAGGGAGGAAGAAGAGGGATGGAGGGGGAGGGAGGAGGATTGAGGGGAGATGGAGGAGGGGAGAGGGAGAGAGGGATGGGGGAAATGGAGGGGGAGGGAGCGGAAGGGAGGGGGGAGGAAGGAGAGGAGGAGGAGGATAGAGGGGAGAGAGGGACGAGAGGAGGAGGAGGAGAGAGGGAACGAGAGAGAGAGGGGGGAGGAATAGAAGGGGAGGAGGAGGAGGAGGAGAGATGGAGGGAATGGGGAGAGGGAGGAAGAAGAGGGATGGGGGGATGGAGGAAGGAGAGATGGGGAGGGAGAGGGGGATGGAGGGACGGGAGGGGGAGGGAGAAGAGGGAGAGAAGGAGGGGGAGGAGAGAGGGAGAGAGGAAGAAGAGGGATGGAGGGAGAGGAAGGCAGGGAGGGAAGGAGAGGGGGAAGGATGGGGAGAGGGAAAGGAAGGGAGGGAGGAAGAAGAGGGACATGGGGATGGAGGAAGGAGAGATGGGAGGGAGGAAGGAGGATTGAGGGGAGATGGAGGGAGAGATGGGGAGGGAGAGAGAAATGGAGAGAGAGGAGGAGGAGGAGGAGGAGGAGAGAGGGGGAGGAAGGCCGGGGAGAGGGGCGGGAGAGGGGCGGAGGAGGATGGGGGGAGATGGCGAGGCCACGCCCCCTGACCCCGCCCCCGCCCCTCCCCCCAGAGTTTGGAGCTGCGCCCCTCCCCCCGGGGGTGGGGCCGGCGCAAGGAGCGGCAGCGGCTGGAGGAGATGAAGCAGGAGCTGGAACTGGTGCAGACTGGTTTGTACTGGTTTGGACTGGTTTGGGGGGTGGGGGACTGGTCTGGACTGGTTTGGACTGGTCCGTACTGGTTTGGGACTGGTTTGGGGGTGGGGGACTGGTTTGGACTGGTTTATACTGGGAGGGACTGGGAGGGAACTGGGGTTACTGGTCTGGACTGGTTTGTACTGGTTTAGGGAGTGGGTTACTGGTTTGGACTGGTTTATACTGGGAGGGGACTGGGGTTACTGGTCTGGACTGGTTTGTACTGGTTTGGGGGGTGGGGGACTGGTTTGGACTGGTTTATACTGGGAGGGGACTGGGGTTACTGGTCCGTACTGGTTTATACTGGTCCGTACTGGTTTATACTGGTCCGTACTGGTCCATACTGGTTTATACTGGTCCATACTGGTTTATACTGGTCCGTACTGGTTTATACTGGTCCGTACTGGTCCATACTGGTCTGTACTGGTGCCCGCAGGACGATCACAAACTGGACGTGAAGGAGCTCGAGATCAAATATGGCACCAGCGCCACCAAGGTGAGAGTGACCCCTGACCCCTGGGTGACCTCTGACCCCTGAGTGACCAATGAGTGACCACTGAGTGACCACTGAGTGACCCTAAGTGACCCTGAGTGACCCTGAGTGACCCCGAGTGACCCCTGAGTGACCCCTGAGTGACCCTGAGTGACCAATGAGCGACCCTAAGTGACCCTGAGTGACCCTGAGTGACCCTGAGTGACCCCTGAGTGACCCTGAGTGGCCACTGAGTGACCACTGAGTGACCCTGAGTGACCAATGAGTGACCAGTGAGTGACCCCTGAGTGACCCTGAGTGACCAATGAGTGACCCTGACTGACCCCTGACCACTGAGTGACCACTGACTGACCACTGACCCCTGAGTGACCACTAACTGACCACGCCCCTCACCCCCCAGGGCCTGTCCGAGGCAGAAGCGGCCGCGCGGCTGTGCCGGGACGGTCCCAATGACCCCTGAATGACCATTGACTGACCCTGAGTGACCACTGACCCCTGAGTGACCCCTGACTGACCACTCCCCTCTCCCCCCAGGGCCTGTCGGAGGCAGAGGCGGCCGCGCGGCTGTGCCGGGACGGTCCCAATGACCACTGACTGACCATTGACTGACCCCTGAGTGACCACTGACCCCTGAGTGACCCCTGGCTCTCCCCCCAGGGCCTGTCCGAGGCGGAGGTGGCTGAGTGGCTGTGTTGGGACGGTCCCAATGACCACTGAGTGACCCCTGACTGACCCCTGACCACTGACTGACCTCTGAGTGACCCCGGACCCCTGAGTGACCACTGAGTGACCCTGAGTGACCCCTGACTGACCCCTGACTGACCACTGAGTGACCCCTGAGTGACCGCTCTGTCCCCCGCAGGGCCTGTCCGAGGCAGAAGCGGCCGCGCGGCTGTGCCGGGATGGTCCCAATGACCACTGAGTGATCACTGACTGACCATTGACCACTGAGTGACCACTGACCCCTGACTGACCACTGAGTTATCACTGACCACTGAGTGACCCCTGAGTGACCACTCCCCTGTCCCGCAGGGCCTGTCCGAGGCGGAGGCGGCCGCGCGGCTGCAGCGGGACGGTCCCAATGACCCCTGACTGACCCCTGACTGACCACTGACCCCTGACTGACCCCTGGCTGTCCCCCCAGGGCCTGTCCGAGGCGGAGGCGGCTGCGCGGCTGCAGCGGGATGGGCCCAATGACCACTGAGTGACCACTGACCCCTGACTGACCACTCCCCTGCCCCCCAGGGCCTGTCTGAGGCAGCGGCGGCCGTGCGGCTGCAGTGGGACAGTCCCAATGACCACTGAGTGACCACTGACCCCCGAGTGACCACTGAGTGACCACTCTCCTGTCCTGCAGGGCCTGTCCGAGGTGGAGGCGGCCGCGCGGCTGTGCCGGGACGGTCCCAATGACCCCTGAGTGACCCCTGACTGTCTCCTGAGTGACCACTGACCCCTGACTGTCTCCTGAGTGACCACTGACCACTGACTGACCACTGAGTGACCACTGACCACTGACTGACCCCTGAGTGACCCCTGAACCCTCACTGACCACTGAGTGACCACTCCCCTCTCCCGCAGGGCCTGTCTGAGGTGGAGGTGGCTGAGTGGCTGTGTTGGGACGGTCCCAATGACCCCTGACCCCCGAGTGACCCCTGAATGACCCCTGGCTCTCCCCCAGGGCCTGTCCGAGGCGGAGGCGGCCGCGCGGCTGCAGTGGGACAGTCCCAATGACCACTGAGTGACCACTGACCCCCGAGTGACCACTCACTGACCACTCCCCTGTCCCCCAGGGCCTGTCCGAGGCGGAGGCGGCCGCGCGGCTGCAGCGGGACGGGCCGAACGCGCTGCGGCCGCCGCGGGGCACGCCGGGCTGCGTGCGCTTCGGCCAGCAGCTGGCCGGGGGGCTGCAGTGCCTCATATGGGTGGCGGCCGCGATCTGCCTGATCGCCTACGGCGTGCAGCGCGGGCAGGGCGACCGCGGCAGCTCGGACAACGTGAGTGACACACCTGGGCACAGGTACAGCACACCTGGGCACACCTGGGCACACCTGGGGGCAGTTATAGCACACCTGGGCACACACACACCCACCATCTGCCTGATCGCCTACGGCGTGCAGCGCGGGCAGGGCGACCGCGGCAGCTCCGACAACGTGAGTGTCACCTGGGGACAGGTACAGCACACCTGGGCACACCTGGGGTACACCTGGGGTACACCTGGGCACACACACAGCCGCCATTTGCCTGATCGCCTACGGCGTGCAGCGCGGCCAGGGCGACCGCGGCAGCTCCGACAATGTGAGTGACACACCTGAGATACACCTGGGGGCAGTTATAGCACACCTGGGCACACCTGGGGTACACCTGGGCACACACACAGCCACCATCTGCCTGATCGCCTACGGCGTGCAGCGCGGCCAGGGCGACCGCAGCAGCTCCGATAACGTGAGTGACACACCTGGGGACAGGTACAGCACACCTGGGGGCACCTGGGGGCAGTTATAGCACACCTGGGCACACCTGGGCACACACACGGCCGGGATCTGCCTGATCGCCTACGGCGTGCAGCGCGGGCAGGGCGACCGCGGCAGCTCGGATAACGTGAGTGACACCTGGGGACAGGTACAGCACACCTGGGCACACCTGGGCACACCTGGGCACACCTGGGTACACCTGGGCACACCTGGGTACACCTGGGCACACCTAGGCACACACACGGCCACCATCTGCCTGATCGCCTACGGCGTGCAGCGCGGCCAGGGCGACCGCGGCAGCTCGGATAATGTGAGTGACACACCTGGGGGCACCTGGGCACACCTGGGAACAGGTACAGCACAGCTGGGGGCACCTGGGGTACACCTGGGCACACACACAGCCGCCATTTGCCTCATCGCCTACGGCGTGCAGCGCGGCCAGGGCGACCGCGGCAGCTCCGACAACGTGAGTGACACACCTAGGGACAGGTACAGCACACCTGGGCACACCTGGGGGCACATACAGCACACCTGGGCACACCTGGGCACACACACAGCCGCCATCTGCCTGATCGCCTACGGCGTGCAGCGCGGCCAGGGCGACCGTGGCAGCTCCGACAACGTGAGTGACACACCTGGGCACACCTGGGCACACCTGGGCACACCTGGGCACACCTGGGGTACACCTGGGGGCAGGTACAGCACACCTTGGCACACCTGGGCACACCTGGGGGCAGGTACAGCACACCTGGGGGCACCTGGGATACACCTGGGCACAGCACACCTGGGGGCAGGTATAGCACACCTGGGGGCACACCTGGGCATACCTGGGGGCAGTTATAGCACACCTGGGCACACCTGAGATACACCTGGGATACACCTGGGCACACCTGGGGGCACCTGAGATACACCTGGGATACACCTGGGATACACCTGGGCACACCTGGGCACAGCTGGGATACACCTGGGCACACCTGGGGCACCTGGGGGCACCTGGGGGCAGGTATAGCACACCTGGGGGCAGTTCTAGCACACCTGGGCACACCTGGGCACACCTGAGATACACCTGGGATACACCTGGGCACACCTGGGGGCAGGTATAACACAGCTGGGGGCAGTTCTAGCACACCTGGGCACACCTGGGCACGGCCGGGCGCTCACCTGGCTCACCTGTGCCCAGCTGTACCTGGCTGTGGCCCTCATCGCCGTTGTGGTGGTCACCGGCTGCTTCGGCTACTACCAGGAGTTCAAGAGCACCAACATCATCGCCAGCTTCCGCAACCTGGTCCCGCAGGTGAGGCACCTGGGCACACCTGGGGGCACCTGGGCACACCTGGGCACACCTGGGGGCACCTGGGCACACCTGGGGGCGGGTACAGCACAGCTGGGCGCACCTGGGCACACCTGGGCACACCTGGGGGCGGGTACACCACACCTGGGCACACCTGGGCACACCTGGGGGCAGGTACAGCACACCTGGGGGCACCTGGGCACACCTGGGCACCCACCTGGGGCCTCATTTACATACCTGGAGTGCCAGCCAGACACCTGGGGGGGCCTTACCTGTGTGCCTGGAGCCTCATTTGCATACCTGAGGCTTCCTTCTGTCACCTGGGGGCCCTCATTTGCATACCTGAGTCCCCAGTCTCTCCCCTGGGGGCCCTGATTTGCATGCCAGGGCCCTCATTTGCATACCTGAGTTCACATTCTCTCCCCTGGGGTGCCACCTGCACACCTGGGGGGCCTCATTTGCATGCCGGGGCCCTGATTTGCATACCTGAGTTCTCATTCTCTCACCTGGGGTGCCACCTGCACACCTGGGGGGCCTCATTTGCATGCGGGGCCCTGATTTGCATACCTGAGTCCCCAGTCTCTCCCCTGGGGGCCCTGATTTGCATGCCAGGGCCCTGATTTGCATACCTGAGTTCTCATTCTCTCACCTGGGGTGCCACCTGCACACCTGGGGGGCCTCATTTGCATACCTGGAGCCTCATTCTCTCACCTGGGGGCCCTGATTTGCATACCTGAGCTCACATTCTCTCCCCTGGGGAGCCACCTGCACACCTGGGGGGCCTGATTTGCATGCGGGGCCCTGATTTGCATACCTGGCAGCAAGCCACGGTGGTGCGGGCGGGGCAGACGCTGCTCGACCTGGGCGACCTGGTGGAGATCAAAGGCGGCGACCGAGTCCTGGTCGACATCCGCGTGCTGGCGGCGCAGGGCTGCAAGGTGGGCGCACCTGGGGCACCTGGGAACACACCTGGGACACCTGGGAGAGACAGAAACACACCTGGGGGCATCTGGGGGCAGCTGGGAACACACCTCGGAGGGATAGAAACACACCTGGGGCACCTGGGGGCACCTGGGCACACACCTGGGGGCAGCTGGGTACACCTGGGAGGGATAGAAACACACCTGGGCGCACCTGGGCACACACCTGGGAGGGATAGAAACACACCTGGGCACACCTGGGCGCACCTGGGAACACCTGGGGGCACCTGGGGCACATGGGGGCACCTGGGGGCAGCTGGGCGCACCTGGGCACACCTGGGCACACCTGGGAGGGATAGAAACACACCTGGACACACCTGGGGGCACCTGGGAGGGATAGAAACACACCTGGGCACACCTGGGGGCACCTGGGAACACACCTGGGGGCACCTGGGCACACCTGGGAGGGATAGAAACACACCTGGGGGCAGCTGGGGGCAGCTGGGAACACACCTGGGGGCAGCTGGGCATACCTGGGCACACCTGGGCACACCTGGGGGCACCTGGGGGCTCCTGGGAACACACCTGGGGGCACCTGGGAGGGATAGAAACACACCTGGGGCACCTGGAGGCACCTGGGAACACACCTGGGGGCAGCTGGAGGCAGCTGGGCACACACCTGTGAGGGATAGAAACACACCTGGGAACACCTGGGGCAGCTGGGCACACCTGGGGGCACCTGAGACACACCTGGGGACACCTGGGAACACACTTGAGAGCACCTGGGAGGGATAGAAATACACCTGGGCACACCTGGGGGCAGCTGAGAGGGTGAGAAACACACCTGGGGGCAGTTATAGCACACCTGGGCGCACCTGGGAACACACCTGGGCACACCTGGGGGCACCTGGGAATACACTGGGGAGAGCTAAGGGAGAGATGGGGGCACCTGGGCACACCTGGGCACACCTTGGAACACACCTGGGCACACCTGGGCACACACCTGGACACACCTGGGGGCACCTGGGGCACCTGGGAACACACCTGGGAGGGATAGAAACACACCTGGGGCACCTGGGAACACACCTGGTGACAGCTGGGCACACCTGGGGGCAGCTGGGAACACACCTGGGGGCACCTGGGGGTACCTGGGAACACAGCTGGGCACACCTGGGCGCACACCAGGTGGACAACTCCTCGCTGACCAGGGAGTCGGAGCCGCAGACGCGCTCACCTGAGTGCACCCACGAGTCCCACCTGGAGACGCGCAACATCGCCTTCTTCTCCACCATGTGCCTGGAAGGTGAGCGCACCTGCGGGCACCTGGGGGCACCTGGGCGCACCTGGGGGCACCTGGGGGCACCTGGGGACAGCTGGGGGACACCTGGGTACATCTGGGGGCACCTGGGCGCACCTGGGGGGGGGTCTGAGTCCCACCCAGGTCCCATCTGGGTCCCACCTGGGCACACCTGGAGGGTCTGTGTCCCACCTGGGTCCCATGTGGGCACACCTGTGTCCCACCTGAGTACACCTGGGGGGGTCAGAGTCCCACCTGAGCACACCTGGGTCCCACCTGAGCACACCTGGGGGGGGTCAGAGTCCCACATGGGCCCCACCTGGGCACACCTGGGTCCCACCTGGGGGTCTGTGTCCCTCCCAGGTCCCACCTGGGTCCCACCTGGTCACAACTGGGGGGTCTGTGTCCCACTTGGGTCCCACCTGGGCACACCTGGGCACACCCGGGTCCCACTTGGGCACACCTGTGTCGCACCTGGGTCCCACCTGGGCACACCTGGGGGGGTCTGAGTCCCACTTGGGTCTCACCTGGGCACACCTGTGTCACACCTGTATCACACCTGTGTCCCACCTGGGCACACCTGTGTCCCACCTGTGTCCCACCTGGGTCCTACCTGGGGGGGGTCTGAGTCCCTCCTGAGCACCTGTGTCCCACCTGGGTCCCACCTGGGCACACCTGGGGGGGGGTCAGATTCCCACATGGGTCCCACGTGGGCACATCTGGGTCCCAACTGGGCACACCTGGTGGTATGTGTCCCACTTGGGTCTCACCTGGGCACACCTGTGTCACACCTGTGTCCCACCTGTGTCCCGCGCAGGTACGGCCACGGGGCTTGGTGATCGGCACGGGGGAGCGCACGGTGATCGGGCGCATCGCCAGCCTGGCATCGGGCGTGGGGAACGAGAAGACGCCGATCGCGGTGGAGATCGAGCACTTCGTGGACATCATCGCCGGGCTCGCCGTCTTCTTCGGCGCCACCTTCTTCCTGGTGGCCATGCTGATCGGGTACCCGCTGCTGCGCGCCGCCGTCTTCTTCATGGCCATCGTGGTGGCCTACGTGCCCGAGGGGCTGCTGGCCACCGTCACGGTACGGGCAGGGCGCACCTGGGGGCACCTGGGGGCACCTCAGGGGGTTGGGGTTGAGGAACATTTGAGGTTTCTATGGGTTCTACCAAAGGTTCTGGGGGTTTGAGGGGTCTCCGTGGAGGTCTAGAGGTCCCCATGGGTCCCACCACAATGTGGGAGGTCTGGGAGACAGTGAGGGACACCTGGGAACAAGTGGGAGGTTGGAGCTTGTGCAAGTGTTTAGGTTTTCATGGATTCTACCGAAGGTTCTGGGGGTTTGGGGAGCTCTTCATGGCCATCGTGGTGGCCTACGTGCCCGAGGGGCTGCTGGCCACCGTCACAGTACGGGCTGGGGGCGGCTGGGAGCACCTGGGGGCACCTGGGCACACCTGGGCACACCTGGAGGCACCTGGGGACACTGGGTTGGTGGAGGTGTTGAGGTTCTTATGGGTTCTACCAAAGGTTCTGGGGGTTTGAGGGGTCTGCACAAGTCTGCGTCTCTAGCGGACTGCATCATAGCGAAAAGCTTTTCCAGCGTCTCTCGAAGGGAGAAAGCTTGCCAGCACAGTGCACGCATCCCGCCCTTGCCCAGAAACATATATTTGCTGAACACTCCAAAAACACTGCTCTTTCCTAGGCAAGCTTCAAACTGCTGTAAGACGTCCGTGCTCTCTGTTTTGTGGTGTCCTGCTCGTTGTAGAAGAGTGCACAGCTCCACCTGACATTCAGTGCACAGCGAAGTCAACTGCAAAAAACCAGCAGCTGCTCACTCCCAAACACAAGGCGCTGTCTATGTCCTTGCTTCCCGAGCAATTCAGCACAGCCCTTCTTCTCTGCAGCTGCCATCGAGATATCTGCAACTCGTAAACTCAGGGTACGAACAAGAATTCTCCAGATTCATCTGCATCAGGACCAAGTCAAAACGCAGAAAAGTCGTCCTGGAGCACCGGCCAGAAGCATGCCAGCGGTGAATTGAAAGCGCAGGCAGCTGCAGCCACCGTCCTCTAAAAGTGCCAAGACAGCGCACACAAGCCGGTTTCGTTCCTCGCCTCTCAGAAGCCAACCGCTCTCCCCGGCTGCCGGAGGCGAAGAAGCGGCTACTAGGTGCACCGCTGACGTGAACCGCACATGTAGGCTGCAAAGCGCGATTTCGGCAGAAAGAAGACGGCAACCGCCGCTTTCCCTGCGGACAGCTGCGGAGAGCCGAAGTCTGCGTCTCTAGTAGACTGCATCATAGCGAAAAGCTTTTCCAGCGTGTCTCGCAGGGAGAGAGCCTGCCAGCACAGTGCACGCATCCCGCCCTTGCCCAGAAACATGGATTTGCTGAACACTCCAAAAACACTACTCTTTCCTAGGCAAGCTTCAAACTGCTGTCAGCCATCTGTGGTCTCTGTTTTCTGCTGTCCTGCTCGTTGCAGAAGAGTGCACAGCTCCACCTGACATTCAGTGCACAGCGAAGTCAACTGCAAAAAACCAGCAGCTGCTCACTCCCAAACACAAGGCGCTGTCTATGTCCTTGCTTCCCGAGCAACTCAGCGCAGCCCTTCTTCTCTGCATCTCGGAAGCTCAGGGTACGAACAAGAATTCTCCAGATTCGTCTGCATCAGGACCAAGTCAAAATGCAGGAAAGTCGTCCTGGAGCACCTGCCAGAAGCATGCCAGCGGTGAATTGAAAGGGCTGGCAGCTGCAGCCACCGTCCTCTAGCAGTGCCAAGGCTGCGCACACAAGCCGGTTTCGTTCTTCGCCTCTCAGAAGCCAACCGCTCTCCCCGGCTGCCGGAGGCGAAGAAGCGGCTACTAGGTGCACCGCTGACGTGAACCGCACTTGTAGGCTGCAAAGCGCGGCTTCGGCAGAAAGAAGCCGGCAACCGCCGCTTCCCTGCGGACAGCTGCGGAGAGCCGAAGTCTGCGTCTCTAGCGGACTGCATCATAGCGAAAAGCTTTTCCAGCGTGTCTCGCAGGGAGAAAGCTTGCCAGCAGAGTGCACGCATCCCGCCCTTGCCCAGAAACATGGATTTGCTGAACACTCCAAAAACACTACTCTTTCCTAGGCAAGCTTCAAACTGCTGTCAGACATCAGTGCTCTCTGTTTTCTGTTGTCCTGCTCGTTGTAGAAGAGTGCACAGCTCCACCTGACATTCAGTGCACAGCGAAGTCAACTGCAAAAAACCAGCAGCTGCTCACTCCCAAACACAAGGCGCTGTCTATGTCCTTGCTTCCCGAGCAACTCAGCGCAGCCCTTCTCTGCATATCGGAAGCTCAGGGCACGAACAAGAATTCTCCAGATTCGTCTGCATCAGGACCAAGTCAAAACCCAGGAAAGTCGTCCTGGAGCACCTGCCAGAAGCATGCCAGCGGTGAATTGAAAGCGCAGGCAGCTGCAGCCACCGTCCTCTAGCAGTGCCAAGGCAGCGCACACAAGCCGGTTTCGTTCTTCGCCTCTCAGAAGCCAACCGCTCTCCCCGGCTGCCGGAGGCGAAGAAGCGGCTACTAGGTGCACCGCTGACCTGAACCGCACTTGTAGGCTGCAAAGCGCGGCTTCGGCAGAAAGAAGCCGGCAACCGCCGCTTCCCTGCGGACAGCTGCGGAGAGCCGAAGTCTGCGTCTCTAGCGGACTGCATCATAGCGAAAAGCTTTTCCAGCGTGTCTCGCAGGGAGAAAGCTTGCCAGCAGAGTGCACGCATCCCGCCCTTGCCCAGAAACATATATTTGCTGAACACTCCAAAAACACTACTCTTTCCTAGGCAAGCTTCAAACTGCTGTCAGACATCAGTGCTCTCTGTTTTGTGGTGTCCTGCTCGTTGTAGAAGAGTGCACAGCTCCACCTGACATTCAGTGCACAGCGAAGTCAACTGCAAAAAACCAGCAGCTGCTCACTCCCAAACACAAGGCGCTGTCTATGTCCTTGCTTCCCGAGCAACTCAGCGCAGCCCTTCTTCTCTGCATCTCGGAAGCTCAGGGCACGAACAAGAATTCTCCAGATTCGTCTGCATCAGGACCAAGTCAAAACGCAGGAAAGTCGTCCTGGAGCACCTGCCAGAAGCATGCCAACGGTGAATTGAAAGGGCTGGCAGCTGCAGCCACCGTCCTCTAGCAGTGCCAAGGCAGCGCACACAAGCCGGTTTCGTTCTTCGCCTCTCAGAAGCCAACCGCTCTCCCCGGCTGCCGGAGGCGAAGAAGCAGCTACTAGGTGCACCCCTGACGTGAACCGCACTTTTAGGCTGCAAAGCGCGGCTTCGGCAGAAAGACGCCGGCAACCGCCGCTTTCCTGCGGACAGCTGCGGAGAGCCGAAGACTGCGTCTCTAGCTGACTGCATCATAGCGAAAAGCTTTTCCAGCGTGTCTCGCAGGGAGAAAGCTTGACAGAACAGTGCAGGCATTCCGCCCTTGCCCAGAAGCATGGATCTGCTGAACACTCCAAAAATACTACTCTTTCCTAGGCAAGCTTCAAACTGCTGTCAGACATCTGTGCTCTCTGTTTTGTGGTGTCCTGCTCGTTGTAGAAGAGTGCACAGCTCCACCTGACATTCAGTGCACAGCGAAGTCAATTGAAAAAAAACCAGCAGCTGCTCACTCCCAAACACAAGGCGCTGTCTATGTCCTTGCTTCCCGAGCAACTCAGCGCAGCCCTTCTTCTCTGCATCTCGGAAACTCAGGGCACGAACAAGAATTCTCCAGATTCGTCTGAATCAGGACCAAGTCAAAATGCAGGAAATTCGTCATGGAGCACCTGCCAGAAGCATGCCAACGGTTAATTGAAAGGGCTGGCAGCTGCAGCCACCGTCCTCTAGCAGTGCCAAGGCAGCGCACACAAGCTGGTTTCGTTCTTCGCCTCTCAGAAGCCAACCGTTCTCCCCGGCTGCCGGAGGCGAAGAAGCGGCTACTAGGTGCACCGCTGACGTGAACCGCACTTTTAGGCTGCAAAGCGCGGCTTCGGCAGAAAGAAGCCGGCAACCGCCGCTTCCCTGCGGACAGCTGCGGAGAGCCGAAGTCTGCGTCTCTAGCGGACTGCATCATAGCGAAAAGCTTTTCCAGCGTCTCTCGCAGGGAGAAAGCTTGCCAGCAGAGTGCACGCATCCCGCCCTTGCCCAGAAACATATATTTGCTGAACACTCCAAAAACACTACTCTTTCCTAGGCAAGCTTCAAACTGCTGTCAGACATCAGTGCTCTCTGTTTTGTGGTGTCCTGCTCGTTGTAGAAGAGTGCACAGCTCCACCTGACATTCAGTGCACAGCGAAGTCAATTGCAAAAAACCAGCAGCTGCTCACTCCCAAACACAAGGCGCTGTCTATGTCCTTGCTTCCCGAGCAACTCAGCGCAGCCCTTCTTCTCTGCATCTCGGAAACTCAGGGCACGAACAAGAATTCTCCAGATTCGTCTGAATCAGGACCAAGTCAAAATGCAGGAAATTCGTCATGGAGCACCTGCCAGAAGCATGCCAACGGTTAATTGAAAGGGCTGGCAGCTGCAGCCACCGTCCTCTAACAGTGCCAAGGCAGCGCACACAAGCCGGTTTCGTTCTTCGCCTCTCAGAAGCCAACCGCTCTCCCCGGCTGCCGGAGGCGAAGAAGCGGCTACTAGGTGCACCGCTGACGTGAACCGCACTTGTAGGCTGCAAAGCGCGGCTTCGGCAGAAAGAAGCCGGCAACCGCCGCTTCCCTGCGGACAGCTGCGGAGAGCCGAAGTCTGCGTCTCTAGCGGACTGCATCATAGCGAAAAGCTTTTCCAGCGTCTCTCGCAGGGAGAAAGCTTGCCAGCAGAGTGCACGCATCCCGCCCTTGCCCAGAAACATGTATTTGCTGAACACTCCAAAGACACTACTCTTTCCTAGGCAAGCTTCAAACTGCTGTCAGACACCAGTGCTCTCTGTTTTCTGTTGCCCTGCTCGTTGTAGAAGAGTGCACAGCTCCTGGGCACACCTGGATACACCTGGCGGGGTCACCTGTGCAGTTCTGCGGGTGCCAGGTGTGCCCATGCCCCTCCTGGGCACACCTGGGCACACCTGAGCACACCTGTGGGCGCAGGAATCGAGTCCAGGTGTGCGGGGGAGTGGCTCAGGTGGGTCCCAGGTGTGCCCGCAGCCCCTCCCCCACCCTGAGCAATAAACACACCTGGACACACCTGCCCGACTCACCTGTGCCTTTTGTTTCTTAATAAAATTTTCAACTCGCAATTTCACCCCAAAATTCCCAATTTTCTTCCTCTCAAATTCCCGGATTTTGCCGCCAAACATTCCCGTTTATTCCCCACCCAAAACCCCAAATTTTACCCCCAAAATTCCCAAATTTCCCACCCAAATCTTCCTGTCTACACCTCCAAAATTCCCAATTTTCCCCCCAAAATCCCCAATTTTTTCCCCCCAAAATTCTGAATTTTTTCTCCCCCAAAATGTCCCAATTTCCCCCCAAAATTCCCCAATTCCCCCCCAAATTTCCCAATTTCCCCCCAAATTCCCCAATTCCTCCACAAATTCCCTAATTTCCCCCCAAATCCCCCAATTTCACCCCCAAACATTCCCAAATTTTCCCTCCCAAATTCCCAATTTTTTCCCCCAAACCTTCCCATTTATTCCCCCAAAATACCCATTTTTCCCAAAAAAAATTCCCAATTTCCCCCCCCAAAATTCCCAAATTCCCCCCCAAAATCACCAAATTTTCCCCCCCAAATTTTCCCCTCACGAATCGCTCATCAAAGGCTCATTGATCACTATTAATTAACCACTAATTAACCATTAATTAATCATTAATTACCCGTTAATTAATCATTGACCAGCGGCACAAAAGGAACGGGGGGGGGGGGGGAGCCGCCCCTCCCCCACCGCGATAAGGCCCCTCCTGATAAGGGGGGGGGGGGGGGGGGAGGGGCGACAGCGAGGACGGGAGACTTCTCCCCCCCCCAGGTGTGACCCTCAGGTGTCCCCCAGGTACCCCCAGGTGTCCCCTCCCCCCCCAGGTGTGACCCCCAGGTGTCCCCAGGTGTCCCCTCCCCCCTCAGGTGTGTCTCCCAGGTGTGCCCAGGTGTCCCTTCCCCCCCCAGGTGTCCCCAGGTGTGCCCAGGTACCCCCAGGTGTCCCCTCCCCCCTCTCAGGTGTCCCCTCAGGTGTGCCCAGGTGTCCCCTCCCCCCTCTCAGGTGTCCCCCAGGTGTGTCCAGGTACCCCCAGGTGTTCCCCAGGTGTCCCTTCCCCCCCCAGGTGTGACCCTCAGGTGTCCCCAGGTGTGCCCAGGTACCCCCAAGTGTCCCCTCCCCACTCTCAGGTGTCACCCCAGGTGTGCCCCAGGTGTGCCCAGGTGTCCCCTCCCCCCTCAGGTGTGACCCCCAGGTGTCCCCCAGGGGTGCCCAGGTACCCCCAGGTGTCCCCCAGGTGTGCCCAGGTGTGCCCAGGTGTGCCCAGGTGTCCCCTCCCCACTCTCAGGTGTCCCCCAGGTGTCCCCTCCCCCCCCAGGTGTCCCCCAGGTACCCCCAGGTGTCCCTTCTCCCCTCTCTGGTGTCCCCCAGGTGTCCCCTCCCCCCTCAGGTGAGACCCTCAGGTGTCCCCTCCCCCCTCAGGTGTGACCCTCAGGTGTCCCCACCCCGCTCAGGTGTCCCCCAGGTGTGTCCAGGTGTCCCCTCCTCCTCAGGTGTCCCCCAGGTGTCCCCTCCCCCCTCAGGTGTGTCGCCCAGGTGTCCCCCAGGTGTGTCCAGGTGTGCCCAGGTGTCCCCTCCCCCTCCAGGTGTCCCCTCCTCCCCTGGAGTCCCCCCCCAGGTGTCCCCCAGTGTCCTCACCCCTCCCCCAGGTGTACCCAGGTGTCCCCTCCTCCTCAGGTGTTCCCCAGGTGTGTCCAGGTACCCCCAGGTGTCCCTCAGGTGTCCCCCCCTCTCAGGTGTGTCCCCCAGGTGTCCCTTTCCCCCTCTCAGGTGTCCCCCAGGTGTCCCCGCCCCTCCCCCAGGTGTGCCCAGGTGGGGTCACCTTGGGGCGGCTCCGCGGGGCTTTAAAAGGGACCGGGAGGGACCGGGAGAGACCCGAGAGACGGAGCCATGGGCAAAGAGGTGAGAGGGACAGGGGAGAGGGAGAGATGGGGAGGGAGAGATGGGGAGGGAGGAAGGAGAGGGGGAGAGGGGGAGGATAGAGGGGAGATGGAGGGATGGAAGGGGGGGAGGAGATGTGGAGGAGGAGGAGGGAGAGGGGAGAGGGAGGGAGGAAGAAGAGGGATGGGAGGGATGGAGGAAGGAGAGGGGGAGAGGGAGGGAGGAGGATTGAGGGGAGATGGAGAGATGGGGGAGGGAGGGAGGAGTGAGGGGAGAGAGGGACGGGAGGAGGAGGAGAAGAGAGAGAGGAAGGAGTGGAGGGAGGAAGAAGAGAGATGGAGGGAGAGGGAGGAGGATTGAGGGGAGATGGAGGGAGAGATGGGGGAGGGAGGGAGAAATGGACGGAGAGGAGGAGGAGAGATGGAGGGAATGGAGAGAGGGAGGAAGAAGAGGGATGGGGGGGATGGAGGAAGGAGAGATGGGAGAGGGAGAGAGGGATGGAGGGAGGAGAGGGGGAGGGAGAAGGACGGAGAGGAGGAGGAGGAGGAGAGAGGGAGGAAGAAGAGGGAGGGAAGGAAAGGAGGAAGGATGGGGAGAGGGAGAGGAAGGGACGGGTGAGAGGAGAGGGAGGAAGAAGAGGGATGAGGGGATGGAGGAAGGAGGGAGGGAGGGAGATGAGGAGGAGGAGGAGAGATGGAGGGAATGGGGAGAGGGAGGAAGGCCGGGGTGGGAGGAGAGAGGGAGGGAGGGAGGGAGGAGGATAGAGGGGAGAGAGGGACAGGAGGAGGATAGAGGGGAGAGAGGGAGGAAGAAGAGGGATGGAGGGGGAGGGAGGAGGATTGAGGGGAGATGGAGGAGGGGAGAGGGAGAGAGGGATGGGGGAAATGGAGGGGGAGGGAGCGGAAGGGAGGGGGGAGGAAGGAGAGGAGGAGGAGGATAGAGGGGAGAGAGGGACGAGAGGAGGAGGAGGAGAGAGGGAACGAGAGAGAGAGGGGGGAGGAATAGAAGGGGAGGAGGAGGAGGAGGAGAGATGGAGGGAATGGGGAGAGGGAGGAAGAAGAGGGATGGGGGGATGGAGGAAGGAGAGATGGGGAGGGAGAGGGGGATGGAGGGACGGGAGGGGGAGGGAGAAGAGGGAGAGAAGGAGGGGGAGGAGAGAGGGAGAGAGGAAGAAGAGGGATGGAGGGAGAGGAAGGCAGGGAGGGAAGGAGAGGGGGAAGGATGGGGAGAGGGAAAGGAAGGGAGGGAGGAAGAAGAGGGACATGGGGATGGAGGAAGGAGAGATGGGAGGGAGGAAGGAGGATTGAGGGGAGATGGAGGGAGAGATGGGGAGGGAGAGAGAAATGGAGAGAGAGGAGGAGGAGGAGGAGGAGAGAGGGGGAGGAAGGCCGGGGAGAGGGGCGGGAGAGGGGCGGAGGAGGATGGGGGGAGATGGCGAGGCCACGCCCCCTGACCCCGCCCCCGCCCCTCCCCCCAGAGTTTGGAGCTGCGCCCCTCCCCCCGGGGGTGGGGCCGGCGCAAGGAGCGGCAGCGGCTGGAGGAGATGAAGCAGGAGCTGGAACTGGTGCAGACTGGTTTGTACTGGTTTGGACTGGTTTGGGGGGTGGGGGACTGGTCTGGACTGGTTTGGACTGGTCCGTACTGGTTTGGGACTGGTTTGGGGGTGGGGGACTGGTTTGGACTGGTTTATACTGGGAGGGACTGGGAGGGAACTGGGGTTACTGGTCTGGACTGGTTTGTACTGGTTTAGGGAGTGGGTTACTGGTTTGGACTGGTTTATACTGGGAGGGGACTGGGGTTACTGGTCTGGACTGGTTTGTACTGGTTTGGGGGGTGGGGGACTGGTTTGGACTGGTTTATACTGGGAGGGGACTGGGGTTACTGGTCCGTACTGGTTTATACTGGTCCGTACTGGTTTATACTGGTCCGTACTGGTCCATACTGGTTTATACTGGTCCATACTGGTTTATACTGGTCCGTACTGGTTTATACTGGTCCGTACTGGTCCATACTGGTCTGTACTGGTGCCCGCAGGACGATCACAAACTGGACGTGAAGGAGCTCGAGATCAAATATGGCACCAGCGCCACCAAGGTGAGAGTGACCCCTGACCCCTGGGTGACCTCTGACCCCTGAGTGACCAATGAGTGACCACTGAGTGACCACTGAGTGACCCTAAGTGACCCTGAGTGACCCTGAGTGACCCCGAGTGACCCCTGAGTGACCCCTGAGTGACCCTGAGTGACCAATGAGCGACCCTAAGTGACCCTGAGTGACCCCTGAGTGACCCTGAGTGGCCACTGAGTGACCACTGAGTGACCCTGAGTGACCAATGAGTGACCAGTGAGTGACCCCTGAGTGACCCTGAGTGACCAATGAGTGACCCTGACTGACCCCTGACCACTGAGTGACCACTGACTGACCACTGACCCCTGAGTGACCACTAACTGACCACGCCCCTCACCCCCCAGGGCCTGTCCGAGGCAGAAGCGGCCGCGCGGCTGTGCCGGGACGGTCCCAATGACCCCTGAATGACCATTGACTGACCCTGAGTGACCACTGACCCCTGAGTGACCCCTGACTGACCACTCCCCTCTCCCCCCAGGGCCTGTCGGAGGCAGAGGCGGCCACGCGGCTGTGCCGGGACGGTCCCAATGACCACTGACTGACCATTGACTGACCCCTGAGTGACCACTGACCCCTGAGTGACCCCTGGCTCTCCCCCCAGGGCCTGTCCGAGGCGGAGGTGGCTGAGTGGCTGTGTTGGGACGGTCCCAATGACCACTGAGTGACCCCTGACTGACCCCTGACCACTGACTGACCTCTGAGTGACCCCGGACCCCTGAGTGACCACTGAGTGACCCTGAGTGACCCCTGACTGACCCCTGACTGACCACTGAGTGACCCCTGAGTGACCGCTCTGTCCCCCGCAGGGCCTGTCCGAGGCAGAAGCGGCCGCGCGGCTGTGCCGGGATGGTCCCAATGACCACTGAGTGATCACTGACTGACCATTGACCACTGAGTGACCACTGACCCCTGACTGACCACTGAGTTATCACTGACCACTGAGTGACCCCTGAGTGACCACTCCCCTGTCCCGCAGGGCCTGTCCGAGGCGGAGGCGGCCGCGCGGCTGCAGCGGGACGGTCCCAATGACCCCTGACTGACCCCTGACTGACCACTGACCCCTGACTGACCCCTGGCTGTCCCCCCAGGGCCTGTCCGAGGCGGAGGCGGCTGCGCGGCTGCAGCGGGATGGGCCCAATGACCACTGAGTGACCACTGACCCCTGACTGACCACTCCCCTGCCCCCCAGGGCCTGTCTGAGGCAGCGGCGGCCGTGCGGCTGCAGTGGGACAGTCCCAATGACCACTGAGTGACCACTGACCCCCGAGTGACCACTGAGTGACCACTCTCCTGTCCTGCAGGGCCTGTCCGAGGTGGAGGCGGCCGCGCGGCTGTGCCGGGACGGTCCCAATGACCCCTGAGTGACCCCTGACTGTCTCCTGAGTGACCACTGACCCCTGACTGTCTCCTGAGTGACCACTGACCACTGACTGACCACTGAGTGACCACTGACCACTGACTGACCCCTGAGTGACCCCTGAACCCTCACTGACCACTGAGTGACCACTCCCCTCTCCCGCAGGGCCTGTCTGAGGTGGAGGTGGCTGAGTGGCTGTGTTGGGACGGTCCCAATGACCCCTGACCCCCGAGTGACCCCTGAATGACCCCTGGCTCTCCCCCAGGGCCTGTCCGAGGCGGAGGCGGCCGCGCGGCTGCAGTGGGACAGTCCCAATGACCACTGAGTGACCACTGACCCCCGAGTGACCACTCACTGACCACTCCCCTGTCCCCCAGGGCCTGTCCGAGGCGGAGGCGGCCGCGCGGCTGCAGCGGGACGGGCCGAACGCGCTGCGGCCGCCGCGGGGCACGCCGGGCTGCGTGCGCTTCGGCCAGCAGCTGGCCGGGGGGCTGCAGTGCCTCATATGGGTGGCGGCCGCGATCTGCCTGATCGCCTACGGCGTGCAGCGCGGGCAGGGCGACCGCGGCAGCTCGGACAACGTGAGTGACACACCTGGGCACAGGTACAGCACACCTGGGCACACCTGGGCACACCTGGGGGCAGTTATAGCACACCTGGGCACACACACACCCACCATCTGCCTGATCGCCTACGGCGTGCAGCGCGGGCAGGGCGACCGCGGCAGCTCCGACAACGTGAGTGTCACCTGGGGACAGGTACAGCACACCTGGGCACACCTGGGGTACACCTGGGGTACACCTGGGCACACACACAGCCGCCATTTGCCTGATCGCCTACGGCGTGCAGCGCGGCCAGGGCGACCGCGGCAGCTCCGACAATGTGAGTGACACACCTGAGATACACCTGGGGGCAGTTATAGCACACCTGGGCACACCTGGGGTACACCTGGGCACACACACAGCCACCATCTGCCTGATCGCCTACGGCGTGCAGCGCGGCCAGGGCGACCGCAGCAGCTCCGATAACGTGAGTGACACACCTGGGGACAGGTACAGCACACCTGGGGGCACCTGGGGGCAGTTATAGCACACCTGGGCACACCTGGGCACACACACGGCCGGGATCTGCCTGATCGCCTACGGCGTGCAGCGCGGGCAGGGCGACCGCGGCAGCTCGGATAACGTGAGTGACACCTGGGGACAGGTACAGCACACCTGGGCACACCTGGGCACACCTGGGCACACCTGGGTACACCTGGGCACACCTGGGTACACCTGGGCACACCTAGGCACACACACGGCCACCATCTGCCTGATCGCCTACGGCGTGCAGCGCGGCCAGGGCGACCGCGGCAGCTCGGATAATGTGAGTGACACACCTGGGGGCACCTGGGCACACCTGGGAACAGGTACAGCACAGCTGGGGGCACCTGGGGTACACCTGGGCACACACACAGCCGCCATTTGCCTCATCGCCTACGGCGTGCAGCGCGGCCAGGGCGACCGCGGCAGCTCCGACAACGTGAGTGACACACCTAGGGACAGGTACAGCACACCTGGGCACACCTGGGGGCACATACAGCACACCTGGGCACACCTGGGCACACACACAGCCGCCATCTGCCTGATCGCCTACGGCGTGCAGCGCGGCCAGGGCGACCGTGGCAGCTCCGACAACGTGAGTGACACACCTGGGCACACCTGGGCACACCTGGGCACACCTGGGCACACCTGGGGTACACCTGGGGGCAGGTACAGCACACCTTGGCACACCTGGGCACACCTGGGGGCAGGTACAGCACACCTGGGGGCACCTGGGATACACCTGGGCACAGCACACCTGGGGGCAGGTATAGCACACCTGGGGGCACACCTGGGCATACCTGGGGGCAGTTATAGCACACCTGGGCACACCTGAGATACACCTGGGATACACCTGGGCACACCTGGGGGCACCTGAGATACACCTGGGATACACCTGGGATACACCTGGGCACACCTGGGCACACCTGGGATACACCTGGGATACACCTGGGCACACCTGGGGGCACCTGGGTACACCTGGGGGCAGGTATAGCACACCTGGGGGCAGTTCTAGCACACCTGGGCACACCTGGGCACACCTGAGATACACCTGGGATACACCTGGGCACACCTGGGGGCAGGTATAACACAGCTGGGGGCAGTTCTAGCACACCTGGGCACACCTGGGCACGGCCGGGCGCTCACCTGGCTCACCTGTGCCCAGCTGTACCTGGCTGTGGCCCTCATCGCCGTTGTGGTGGTCACCGGCTGCTTCGGCTACTACCAGGAGTTCAAGAGCACCAACATCATCGCCAGCTTCCGCAACCTGGTCCCGCAGGTGAGGCACCTGGGCACACCTGGGGGCACCTGGGCACACCTGGGCACACCTGGGGGCACCTGGGCACACCTGGGGGCGGGTACAGCACAGCTGGGCGCACCTGGGCACACCTGGGCACACCTGGGGGCGGGTACACCACACCTGGGCACACCTGGGCACACCTGGGGGCAGGTACAGCACACCTGGGGGCACCTGGGCACACCTGGGCACCCACCTGGGGCCTCATTTACATACCTGGAGTGCCAGCCAGACACCTGGGGGGGCCTTACCTGTGTGCCTGGAGCCTCATTTGCATACCTGAGGCTTCCTTCTGTCACCTGGGGGGCCTCATTTGCATACCTGGAGCCTCATTCTCTCACCTGGGGGCCCTGATTTGCATACCTGAGCTCACATTCTCTCCCCTGGGGAGCCACCTGCACACCTGGGGGGCCTGATTTGCATGCGGGGCCCTGATTTGCATACCTGGCAGCAAGCCACGGTGGTGCGGGCGGGGCAGACGCTGCTCGACCTGGGCGACCTGGTGGAGATCAAAGGCGGCGACCGAGTCCTGGTCGACATCCGCGTGCTGGCGGCGCAGGGCTGCAAGGTGGGCGCACCTGGGGCACCTGGGAACACACCTGGGACACCTGGGAGAGACAGAAACACACCTGGGGGCATCTGGGGGCAGCTGGGAACACACCTCGGAGGGATAGAAACACACCTGGGGCACCTGGGGGCACCTGGGCACACACCTGGGGGCAGCTGGGTACACCTGGGAGGGATAGAAACACACCTGGGCGCACCTGGGCACACACCTGGGAGGGATAGAAACACACCTGGGCACACCTGGGCGCACCTGGGAACACCTGGGGGCACCTGGGGCACATGGGGGCACCTGGGGGCAGCTGGGCGCACCTGGGCACACCTGGGCACACCTGGGCACACCTGGGAGGGATAGAAACACACCTGGACACACCTGGGGGCACCTGGGAGGGATAGAAACACACCTGGGCACACCTGGGGGCACCTGGGAACACACCTGGGGGCACCTGGGCACACCTGGGAGGGATAGAAACACACCTGGGGGCAGCTGGGGGCAGCTGGGAACACACCTGGGGGCAGCTGGGCATACCTGGGCACACCTGGGCACACCTGGGGGCACCTGGGGGCTCCTGGGAACACACCTGGGGGCACCTGGGAGGGATAGAAACACACCTGGGGCACCTGGAGGCACCTGGGAACACACCTGGGGGCAGCTGGAGGCAGCTGGGCACACACCTGTGAGGGATAGAAACACACCTGGGAACACCTGGGGCAGCTGGGCACACCTGGGGGCACCTGAGACACACCTGGGGACACCTGGGAACACACTTGAGAGCACCTGGGAGGGATAGAAATACACCTGGGCACACCTGGGGGCAGCTGAGAGGGTGAGAAACACACCTGGGGGCAGTTATAGCACACCTGGGCGCACCTGGGAACACACCTGGGCACACCTGGGGGCACCTGGGAATACACTGGGGAGAGCTAAGGGAGAGATGGGGGCACCTGGGCACACCTGGGCACACCTTGGAACACACCTGGGCACACCTGGGCACACACCTGGACACACCTGGGGGCACCTGGGGCACCTGGGAACACACCTGGGAGGGATAGAAACACACCTGGGGCACCTGGGAACACACCTGGTGACAGCTGGGCACACCTGGGGGCAGCTGGGAACACACCTGGGGGCACCTGGGGGTACCTGGGAACACAGCTGGGCACACCTGGGCGCACACCAGGTGGACAACTCCTCGCTGACCAGGGAGTCGGAGCCGCAGACGCGCTCACCTGAGTGCACCCACGAGTCCCACCTGGAGACGCGCAACATCGCCTTCTTCTCCACCATGTGCCTGGAAGGTGAGCGCACCTGCGGGCACCTGGGGGCACCTGGGCGCACCTGGGGGCACCTGGGGGCACCTGGGGACAGCTGGGGGACACCTGGGTACATCTGGGGGCACCTGGGCGCACCTGGGGGGGGGTCTGAGTCCCACCCAGGTCCCATCTGGGTCCCACCTGGGCACACCTGGAGGGTCTGTGTCCCACCTGGGTCCCATGTGGGCACACCTGTGTCCCACCTGAGTACACCTGGGGGGGTCAGAGTCCCACCTGAGCACACCTGGGTCCCACCTGAGCACACCTGGGGGGGGTCAGAGTCCCACATGGGCCCCACCTGGGCACACCTGGGTCCCACCTGGGGGTCTGTGTCCCTCCCAGGTCCCACCTGGGTCCCACCTGGTCACAACTGGGGGGTCTGTGTCCCACTTGGGTCCCACCTGGGCACACCTGGGCACACCCGGGTCCCACTTGGGCACACCTGTGTCGCACCTGGGTCCCACCTGGGCACACCTGGGGGGGTCTGAGTCCCACTTGGGTCTCACCTGGGCACACCTGTGTCACACCTGTATCACACCTGTGTCCCACCTGGGCACACCTGTGTCCCACCTGTGTCCCACCTGGGTCCTACCTGGGGGGGGTCTGAGTCCCTCCTGAGCACCTGTGTCCCACCTGGGTCCCACCTGGGCACACCTGGGGGGGGTCAGATTCCCACATGGGTCCCACGTGGGCACATCTGGGTCCCAACTGGGCACACCTGGTGGTATGTGTCCCACTTGGGTCTCACCTGGGCACACCTGTGTCACACCTGTGTCCCACCTGTGTCCCGCGCAGGTACGGCCACGGGGCTTGGTGATCGGCACGGGGGAGCGCACGGTGATCGGGCGCATCGCCAGCCTGGCATCGGGCGTGGGGAACGAGAAGACGCCGATCGCGGTGGAGATCGAGCACTTCGTGGACATCATCGCCGGGCTCGCCGTCTTCTTCGGCGCCACCTTCTTCCTGGTGGCCATGCTGATCGGGTACCCGCTGCTGCGCGCCGCCGTCTTCTTCATGGCCATCGTGGTGGCCTACGTGCCCGAGGGGCTGCTGGCCACCGTCACGGTACGGGCAGGGCGCACCTGGGGGCACCTGGGGGCACCTCAGGGGGTTGGGGTTGAGGAACATTTGAGGTTTCTATGGGTTCTACCAAAGGTTCTGGGGGTTTGAGGGGTCTCCGTGGAGGTCTAGAGGTCCCCATGGGTCCCACCACAATGTGGGAGGTCTGGGAGACAGTGAGGGACACCTGGGAACAAGTGGGAGGTTGGAGCTTGTGCAAGTGTTTAGGTTTTCATGGATTCTACCGAAGGTTCTGGGGGTTTGGGGAGCTCTTCATGGCCATCGTGGTGGCCTACGTGCCCGAGGGGCTGCTGGCCACCGTCACAGTACGGGCTGGGGGCGGCTGGGAGCACCTGGGGGCACCTGGGCACACCTGGGCACACCTGGAGGCACCTGGGGACACTGGGTTGGTGGAGGTGTTGAGGTTCTTATGGGTTCTACCAAAGGTTCTGGGGGTTTGAGGGGTCTGCACAAGTCTGCGTCTCTAGCGGACTGCATCATAGCGAAAAGCTTTTCCAGCGTCTCTCGAAGGGAGAAAGCTTGCCAGCACAGTGCACGCATCCCGCCCTTGCCCAGAAACATATATTTGCTGAACACTCCAAAAACACTGCTCTTTCCTAGGCAAGCTTCAAACTGCTGTAAGACGTCCGTGCTCTCTGTTTTGTGGTGTCCTGCTCGTTGTAGAAGAGTGCACAGCTCCACCTGACATTCAGTGCACAGCGAAGTCAACTGCAAAAAACCAGCAGCTGCTCACTCCCAAACACAAGGCGCTGTCTATGTCCTTGCTTCCCGAGCAATTCAGCACAGCCCTTCTTCTCTGCAGCTGCCATCGAGATATCTGCAACTCGTAAACTCAGGGTACGAACAAGAATTCTCCAGATTCATCTGCATCAGGACCAAGTCAAAACGCAGAAAAGTCGTCCTGGAGCACCGGCCAGAAGCATGCCAGCGGTGAATTGAAAGCGCAGGCAGCTGCAGCCACCGTCCTCTAAAAGTGCCAAGACAGCGCACACAAGCCGGTTTCGTTCTTCGCCTCTCAGAAGCCAACCGCTCTCCCCGGCTGCCGGAGGCGAAGAAGCGGCTACTAGGTGCACCGCTGACGTGAACCGCACTTGTAGGCTGCAAAGCGCGGTTTCGGCAGAAAGAAGCCGGCAACCGCCGCTTTCCCTGCGGACAGCTGCGGAGAGCCGAAGTCTGCGTCTCTAGAAGACTGCATCATAGCGAAAAGCTTTTCCAGCGTGTCTCGCAGGGAGAAAGCTTGCCAGCACAGTGCACGCATCCCGCCCTTGCCCAGAAACATGGATTTGCTGAACACTCCAAAAACACTACTCTTTCCTAGGCAAGCTTCAAACTGCTGTCAGCCATCTGTGCTCTCTGTTTTCTGCTGTCCTGCTCGTTGTAGAAGAGTGCACAGCTCCACCTGACATTCAGTGCACAGCGAAGTCAACTGCAAAAAACCAGCAGCTGCTCACTCCCAAACACAAGGCGCTGTCTATGTCCTTGCTTCCCGAGCAACTCAGCGCAGCCCTTCTTCTCTGCATCTCGGAAGCTCAGGGTACGAACAAGAATTCTCCAGATTCGTCTGCATCAGGACCAAGTCAAAACGCAGGAAAGTCGTCCTGGAGCACCTGCCAGAAGCATGCCAGAGGTGAACTGAAAGGGCTGGCAGCTGCAGCCACCGTCCTCTAGCAGTGCCAAGGCAGCGCACACAAGCCGGTTTCGTTCTTCGCCTCTCAGAAGCCAACCGCTCTCCCCGGCTGCCGGAGGCGAAGAAGCGGCTACTAGGTGCACCGCTGACGTGAACCGCACTTGTAGGCTGCAAAGCGCGGCTTCGGCAGAAAGACGCCGGCAACCGCCGCTTCCCTGCGGACAGCTGCGGAGAGCCGGAGTCTGCGTCTCAAGCGGACTGCATCATGGCGAAAAGCTTTTCCAGCGTGTCTCGCAGGGAGAGAGCTTGCCAGCACAGTGCACGCATCCCGCCCTTGCCCAGAAACATGGATTTGCTGAACACTCCAAAAACACTACTCTTTCCTAGGCAAGCTTCAAACTGCTGTCAGACATCTGTGCTCTCTGTTTTCTGCTGTCCTGCTCGTTGTAGAAGAGTGCACAGCTCCACCTGACATTCAGTGCACAGCGAAGTCAACTGCAAAAAACCAGCAGCTGCTCACTCCCAAACACAAGGCGCTGTCTATGTCCTTGCTTCCCGAGCAACTCAGCGCAGCCCTTCTTCTCTGCATCTCGGAAGCTCAGGGCACGAACAAGAATTCTCCAGATTCGTCTGCATCAGGACCAAGTCAAAACCCAGGAAAGTCGTCCTGGAGCACCTGCCAGAAGCATGCCAGCGGTGAATTGAAAGCGCAGGCAGCTGCAGCCACCGTCCTCTAGCAGTGCCAAGGCAGCGCACACAAGCCGGTTTCGTTCTTCGCCTCTCAGAAGCCAACCGCTCTCCCCGGCTGCCGGAGGCGAAGAAGCGGCTACTAGGTGCACCGCTGACGTGAACCGCACTTGTAGGCTGCAAAGCGCGGCTTCGGCAGAAAGAAGCCGGCAACCGCCGCTTCCCTGCGGACAGCTGCGGAGAGCCGAAGTCTGCGTCTCTAGCGGACTGCATCATAGCGAAAAGCTTTTCCAGCGTGTCTCGCAGGGAGACAGCTTGCCAGCAGAGTGCACGCATCCCGCCCTTGCCCAGAAACATATATTTGCTGAACACTCCAAAAACACTACTCTTTCCTAGGCAAGCTTCAAACTGCTGTCAGACATCAGTGCTCTCTGTTTTGTGGTGTCTTGCTCGTTGTAGAAGAGTGCACAGCTCCACCTGACATTCAGTGCACAGCGAAGTCAACTGCAAAAAACCAGCAGCTGCTCACTCCCAAACACAAGGCGCTGTCTATGTCCTTGCTTCCCGAGCAACTCAGCGCAGCCCTTCTCTGCATCTCGGAAGCTCAGGGCACGAACAAGAATTCTCCAGATTCGTCTGCATCAGGACCAAGTCAAAACGCAGGAAAGTCGTCCTGGAGCACCTGCCAGAAGCATGCCAGCGGTGAATTGAAAGGGCTGGCAGCTGCAGCCACCGTCCTCTAGCAGTGCCAAGGCAGCGCACACAAGCCGGTTTCGTTCTTCGCCTCTCAGAAGCCAACCGCTCTCCCCGGCTGCCGGAGGCGAAGAAGCGGCTACTAGGTGCACCGCTGACGTGAACCGCACTTGTAGGCTGCAAAGCGCGGCTTCGGCAGAAAGAAGCCGGCAACCGCCGCTTCCCTGCGGACAGCTGCGGAGAGCCGAAGTCTGCGTCTCTAGCGGACTGCATCATAGCGAAAAGCTTTTCCAGCGTGTCTCGCAGGGAGAAAGCTTGCCAGCACAGTGCACGCATCCCGCCCTTGCCCAGAAACATGGATTTGCTGAACACTCCAAAAACACTACTCTTTCCTAGGCAAGCTTCAAACTGCTGTCAGACATCCGTGCTCTCTGTTTTCTGCTGTCCTGCTCGTTGTAGAAGAGTGCACAGCTCCACCTGACATTCAGTGCACAGCGAAGTCAACTGCAAAAAACCAGCAGCTGCTCACTCCCAAACACAAGGCGCTGTCTATGTCCTTGCTTCCCGAGCAACTCAGCACAGCCCTTCTTTTCTGCAGCTGCCATCGAGTTCTCTGCAACTCGGAAGCTCAGGGTACGAACAAGAATTCTCCAGATTCGTCTGCATCAGGACCAAGTCAAAACGCAGGAAAGTCGTCCTGGAGCACCTGCCAGAAGCATGCCAGCGGTGAATTGAAAGGGCTGGCAGCTGCAGCCACCGTCCTCTAGCAGTGCCAAGGCTGCGCACACAAGCCGGTTTCGTTCTTCGCCTCTCAGAAGCCAACCGCTCTCCCCGGCTGCCGGAGGCGAAGAAGCGGCTACTAGGTGCACCGCTGACGTGAACCGCACTTGTAGGCTGCAAAGCGCGGCTTCGGCAGAAAGAAGCCGGCAACCGCCGCTTCCCTGCGGACAGCTGCGGAGAGCCGAAGTCTGCGTCTCTAGCGGACTGCATCATAGCGAAAAGCTTTTCCAGCGTGTCTCGCAGGGAGAAAGCTTGCCAGCACAGTGCACGCATCCCGCCCTTGCCCAGAAACATATATTTGCTGAACACTCCAAAAACACTACTCTTTCCTAGGCAAGCTTCAAACTGCTGTCAGACGTCCGTGCTCTCTGTTTTCTGCTGTCCTGCTCGTTGTAGAAGAGTGCACAGCTCCACCTGACATTCAGTGCACAGCGAAGTCAACTGCAAAAAACCAGCAGCTGCTCACTCCCAAACACAAGGCGCTGTCTATGTCCTTGCTTCCCGAGCAACTCAGCGCAGCCCTTCTTCTCTGCATATCGGAAGCTCAGGGCACGAACAAGAATTCTCCAGATTCGTCTGCATCAGGACCAAGTCAAAACGCAGGAAAGTCGTCCTGGAGCACCTGCCAGAAGCATGCCAGAGGTGAACTGAAAGCGCTGGCAGCTGCAGCCACCGTCCTCTAGCAGTGCCAAGGCAGCGCACACAAGCCGGTTTCGTTCTTCGCCTCTCAGAAGCCAACCGCTCTCCCCGGCTGCCGGAGGCGAAGAAGCGGCTACTAGGTGCACCGCTGACGTGAACCGCACTTGTAGGCTGCAAAGCGCGGCTTCGGCAGAAAGAAGCCGGCAACCGCCGCTTCCCTGCGGACAGCTGCGGAGAGCCGAAGTCTGCGTCTCTAGCGGACTGCATCATAGCGAAAAGCTTTTCCAGCGTGTCTCGCAGGGAGAAAGCTTGCCAGCACAGTGCACGCATCCCGCCCTTGCCCAGAAACATATATTTGCTGAACACTCCAAAATCACTACTCTTTCCTAGGCAAGCTTCAAACTGCTGTCAGACATCAGTGCTCTCTGTTTTGTGGTGTCCTGCTCGTTGTAGAAGAGTGCACAGCTCCACCTGACATTCAGTGCACAGCGAAGTCAACTGCAAAAAACCAGCAGCTGCTCACTCCCAAACACAAGGCGCTGTCTATGTCCTTGCTTCCCGAGCAACTCAGCGCAGCCCTTCTCTGCATATCGGAAGCTCAGGGCACGAACAAGAATTCTCCAGATTCGTCTGCATCAGGACCAAGTCAAAACGCAGGAAAGTCGTCCTGGAGCACCTGCCAGAAGCATGCCAGAGGTGAATTGAAAGGGCTGGCAGCTGCAACCACCGTCCTCTAGCAGTGCCAAGGCTGCGCACACAAGCCGGTTTCGTTCTTCGCCTCTCAGAAGCCAACCGCTCTCCCCGGCTGCCGGAGGCGAAGAAGCGGCTACTAGGTGCACCGCTGACGTGAACCGCACTTGTAGGCTGCAAAGCGCGGCTTCGGCAGAAAGAAGCCGGCAACCGCCGCTTCCCTGCGGACAGCTGCGGAGAGCCGAAGTCTGCGTCTCTAGCGGACTGCATCATAGCGAAAAGCTTTTCCAGCGTCTCTCGCAGGGAGAAAGCTTGCCAGCACAGTGCACGCATCCCGCCCTTGCCCAGAAACATATATTTGCTGAACACTCCAAAAACACTACTCTTTCCTAGGCAAGCTTCAAACTGCTGTCAGACATCTGTGCTCTCTGTTTTCTGCTGTCCTGCTCGTTGTAGAAGAGTGCACAGCTCCACCTGACATTCAGTGCACAGCGAAGTCAACTGCAAAAAACCAGCAGCTGCTCACTCCCAAACACAAGGCGCTGTCTATGTCCTTGCTTCCCGAGCAACTCAGCGCAGCCCTTCTTCTCTGCATCTCGGAAGCTCAGGGTACGAACAAGAATTCTCCAGATTCGTCTGCATCAGGACCAAGTCAAAACGCAGGAAAGTCGTCCTGGAGCACCTGCCAGAAGCATCCCAGAGGTGAACTGAAAGGGCTGGCAGCTGCAACCACCGTCCTCTAGCAGTGCCAAGGCAGCGCACACAAGCCGGTTTCGTTCTTCGCCTCTCAGAAGCCAACCGCTCTCCCCGGCTGCCGGAGGCGAAGAAGCGGCTACTAGGTGCACCGCTGACGTGAACCGCACTTGTAGGCTGCAAAGCGCGGTTTCGGCAGAAAGACGCCGGCAACCGCCGCTTCCCTGCGGACAGCTGCGGAGAGCCGGAGTCTGCGTCTCTAGCGGACTGCATCATAGCGAAAAGCTTTTCCAGCGTGTCTCGCAGGGAGAGAGCTTGCCAGCACAGTGCACGCATCCCGCCCTTGCCCAGAAACATGGATTTGCTGAACACTCCAAAAACACTACTCTTTCCTAGGCAAGCTTCAAACTGCTGTCAGCCATCTGTGCTCTCTGTTTTCTGCTGTCCTGCTCGTTGTAGAAGAGTGCACAGCTCCACCTGACATTCAGTGCACAGCGAAGTCAATTGCAAAAAACCAGCAGCTGCTCACTCCCAAACACAAGGCGCTGTCTATGTCCTTGCTTCCCGAGCAATTCAGCACAGCCCTTCTTTTCTGCAGCTGCCATCGAGTTCTCTGCAACTCGTAAGCTCAGGGTACGAACAAGAATTCTCCAGATTCGTCTGCATCAGGACCAAGTCAAAACGCAGGAAAGTCGTCCTGGAGCACCTGCCAGAAGCATGCCAGCGGTGAATTGAAAGGGCTGGCAGCTGCAGCCACCGTCCTCTAGCAGTGCCAAGGCTGCGCACACAAGCCGGTTTCGTTCTTCGCCTCTCAGAAGCCAACCGCTCTCCCCGGCTGCCGGAGGCGAAGAAGCGGCTACTAGGTGCACCGCTGACGTGAACCGCACTTGTAGGCTGCAAAGCGCGGCTTCGGCAGAAAGACGCCGGCAACCGCCGCTTCCCTGCGGACAGCTGCGGAGAGCCGAAGTCTGCGTCTCTAGCGGACTGCATCATAGCGAAAAGCTTTTCCAGCGTCTCTCGCAGGGAGAAAGCTTGCCAGCACAGTGCACGCATCCCGCCCTTGCCCAGAAACATATATTTGCTGAACACTCCAAAAACACTACTCTTTCCTAGGCAAGCTTCAAACTGCTGTCAGACATCCGTGCTCTCTGTTTTCTGCTGTCCTGCTCGTTGTAGAAGAGTGCACAGCTCCACCTGACATTCAGTGCACAGCGAAGTCAACTGCAAAAAACCAGCAGCTGCTCACTCCCAAACACAAGGCGCTGTCTATGTCCTTGCTTCCCGAGCAACTCAGCGCAGCCCTTCTTCTCTGCATCTCGGAAGCTCAGGGCACGAACAAGAATTCTCCAGATTCGTCTGCATCAGGACCAAGTCAAAACGCAGGAAAGTCGTCCTGGAGCACCTGCCAGAAGCATGCCAGAGGTGAACTGAAAGGGCTGGCAGCTGCAACCACCGTCCTCTAGCAGTGCCAAGGCAGCGCACACAAGCCGGTTTCGTTCTTCGCCTCTCAGAAGCCAACCGCTCTCCCCGGCTGCCGGAGGCGAAGAAGCGGCTACTAGGTGCACCGCTGACGTGAACCGCACTTGTAGGCTGCAAAGCGCGGTTTCGGCAGAAAGACGCCGGCAACCGCCGCTTACCTGCGGACAGCTGCGAGGAGCCGGAAGTCTGCGTCTCAAGCGGACTGCATCATGGCGAAAAGCTTTTCCAGCGTGTCTCGCAGGAAGAGGCTGCCAGCAAGTGCCGCATCCCGCCTTGC